GAAAAGATGGAGTCGAGAGGAGTGAGGAAGTTTCCGGGGCATAGCTATGTGGAGGTTTCCGGAGATCTTCATAGATTTATTGCTCACGATAAGGCGCATCTACAATCGCGAGAAATGTATTCGATGTTGAATGTAATTGGAGAAGAGATGAAGTTTAGAATAGATCTTGAGGAACAAGAAATGTTATGTACTCCAATTGGAGTATGATCATCTCATATAGTTAGGGCTGTGCATGGATCGGTTTTAACCATCAACCAACCCATTTTCGACCCACAATTTATGATGGTTAATCAACCATCGACCGACCCATTTAAGTTGGGTCGATAATGTCAACCAACCCATGTATAGGTGGGTCGATAATGGTTTCTAATATGCTAAAAAGTTGGTTAGTCGGTTAATATCGGCCAACCAACTTTATTCATTAATTTATTATTTGTTAATTTTAATTAAAATATTTAATATTTTTAATTTCAAATTTCTATTTTATATCACATTTATTAAATTGTTTAATATTGACCAAAATCCCAAAAGCAATAAATCTAACTTAATTATCTAATTTGAACTATTTTAATTTTAAGACATACAATCTAAATATTTGGACGATTATTATTTGTTGAACTAGTTATGTTTAATTGCAATATATATGCACGTAATGTTTTGAATCTTTTATTTGAATATTATTGAACTAGTCGCATTTAATTTATAAAAGATATAACGTTGTAACAAGTAATAAAATATTAAAAAAAAATTAAAAAATATTTAGATGGATGACCCATCAACCAAACGACCAACCAACCCATTAAATTGGTTTTCAACCATCATCCAACCCATGTAAGTTGGGTCGATAACGGTTTCCAATATTTACCAAAGTTGGTTGGATGAGTTGGGTTGGTTTTATGCCTGGTTTTTAACCAAACCAACCAACGCACAGCCCTACATATAGTATATATTCATTTATTGAAGTTATGAACCATTTTTATTTTTTTTAAATCGAATTCATATTTCGTATTTCGAAACATTAATAATATATAGAAGTGCGAAAACTGATTCTTCCATAGATAGCTTCTGTGTGATGTTCAAATACAATAAACATTATTATTATAAAGCTGCAATAGTGGCAACTACAATCAAATATTGCAGTTACAGACTTTGGACCTATCGACAACTCAGGTAATATACAACATGAACAAATAACCGAATCTAATTTAAAGACGAGAGGATCTCAACTGCAATAAGGTATAGAAAAAGATCGATTTTTTTTTCTTCGGGAAATATTTCTCATGTTTAAACAGTTGAAAGGGACTCGAGAAGTTTGTCTACGTACTCTTTGAGTTTAACTTTGGTTATCGCACCCTCCCTTCTGCTCCCTGGAACTTCCTGCCCGTTTTGGAAGAGAATCAGCATCGGCAATCCGTATACCTTGTATTTCTCGATCAGCCTCGGGTTCGAATCGTGATCGACTTTCACAACCGTTAGTTTCTCTTCGTACTCCTGAAAGTTGCATTCACAAGAGAACAAGCATTCAGTTTCTTTAAAATCGAGCGAGATATTCAGAATGTTACGCATCGAACACGTACTAATTTCGTTCCAGATCTATTTCTCCAATTTGTATGACATATTATGGCATAAACTCTAAATGCAGTTGCAATAACTTTTCTTCATCCGAGTTGAGTTATTTGATTTCACTTAGTTGAATCACTGAGTCAGCTCAGTTGAACTGAAGATATAATAAATCTAAGGCTTTCCACCTCTAATTATGAGATCTAGTGATGGAATTTCATATAATTTTGCCCTAATTAATTAACTCAATGATGATCTTCTGTCTAAACCTAGTTCAAATTAAGACGAAATCAATCAGCCATCGACCATTGTTTAGGTGAAGTTAATTCATAGCAAAAAAAAGCTTTTCAATTTCATTATAAAAAAAAAAACAATTTCAGAGATTCAATTCCAATAATTGAAAGGGATATATTATAAATATACAGCTACTGAATCTCACCTGAGCGAGTGATTGAATCGCAGGAGCGATTAAACGGCAGGGGCCGCACCACGTGGCGACGAACTCGACGAGGACGGGGATTTCGGACTTCAAAACGACGCTGGGGAATAGGTTTTCGTCGACCTCCCGCACTGCGCCGGCGCACTTAATCGGAGTTACAGACGACGGCGGCGGTGGATTCCTCCGGCTACGCAAACAAACCTTGTTGCGGAAACTGAATCTCGAAGAGGAAGGTGAATAGGACGTAAGAGCATTGTGGATGATACTGGACGGCGGGGAAGTAACTGCACGAACCGGAGGGAGAGGATTGGAGGAGGTGGGGGCGAAAGCGATACGCATGGTGGTGAAAGAGAGTGCGGAGGTGGTCGTTTCACGTTTGCCTAGACCTCTTCTTTCTCTCTCTCTCTCTCTCTATTGGGCGACGCTCATTTTTCTACTTATCTAATATTTTCCATATTTTTTTGTATTATTCTATATTTATTTTTCAATAAATCAAACTATTTTTTTTAAATATGCACTTCAACCACTATAAATTTTCTATTTTCATACTTTCACCCTTAAAACATTCAAAAAAGGGATAACCCCCTTCGAATTATTTTTTTGGTTCCACTTACCCTAAAAATCAATTCCCAGTACACCAAAAATAATATTTTAAAGCAGCAACGGGTAGAAAGATAATATTTTTAAGGGGCAATGTGTAACAAAAATAATTTTTAAAGGGGCAACGTGCAACAAAATTACTCAATTCAGGAGAATAATCCATCAGAAGTTTGCTATCGGGGTAATGCGCACCAAAAATAGCATTTTGGAGAGGGACATTTAATTTTTCAAAATTTGGAGGGGTAAATGTGAAAACTAGAAATAAGGAGTGACGTGTAATGTGCCCAAAAAGATAATTTATTGGCGTATCTTCTTGTGCATGTGGGCATCTCATACATATAATTTTCAATATGTCAGAAATGGATAGAGGCGGAATGCTATTATAGAAACCACGATTTGGGAAACGGGCATGGGGAAACGATATGCCCGAAAAGTGAGGATACAAGAACTTGAGGGAAATATGTAAATATTAAAACTAATATATTTATAAATATAATATATAAACATATATAAGTTTTATTTATATGTAAATAAATTTCAATACAAATATAATAAAAAATATTATTATCAACTATCAATTTACAATTGATCATTAAATTATGTAAATAATTACGAAAACAACAATAATATTTGTAAATTTGCAATTCAAACGTGTTTCTTACTTTCAAAAATTGTAAAATAATCCATAAGGTGTCCGACATGCGTCCAAAACACGGAAACAGTCAAAAGTTGAAGTTTTCGTACTGCGTAAATGGAAATGTCATTCTCTTTTTAATCATATCCCATGGTTGATAATATATATATATTTTTTAAATAATATGATTGGTAAAAATTGAAAATTTAAGAATTCTTTTTTCTTGAAGATAAATAATGGGAATTGTCTTTAAATATTTTTTGAGTTATCTAATTTATTACTCGTTAATCTAAATAAAAAGCAAAAATGATTTGGGGATAATTTAATTACAATTATTAAACACACAAATGGGCTTAAGAAGAGAATTAGGTGTTTGACCCAAAATATTTAGAATAAATTCTTTGCCAAAAGTCTTCATATTTTATTTTATTTTCCGTCTTTAGAGAAAAAAACAGAGTTGTGCTGTTAAACGAAAAAATGTCCTCCAGCGGCGGCGTCACGGTGGCGGACGGTGGTCCGCAGATGTACTTCTGCCATCAATGCGAGCGCACCGCCACAATTGCCCCCTCCCCGGGCGGCGAAATCCTTTGCCCCTCTTGTAACTCCGGTTTCGTCGAAGAATTCCAAAACCCTAGCCCTGATCCTAGAATACCCGACCCTTTCTACCTCCTCCTCTCCCAATTCCTCCCCCCCGCCTCCGCAAACCTCAACCCTAACCCTACGCGGAGGACGGCGCCGACCGGGGTGTCTGCGCACGGAGCCGACGCTTTCGACCCGATGTCGTACTTTATGAACTTTCTAGCCAACAGCCGCGCCAGCGGAATTGACTACCAGTTTGTGATCGAGGACAACCCGTCGGATTCCGGTTTTGCTCTGCCGGCGAATATTGGCGACTATTTTGTGGGGCCCGGATACGAGCAGTTGATTCAGCAGTTGGCTGATAATGATCCGAATCGGTACGGTACACCTCCTGCTGCCAAGTCTGCCGTCGAGGCGCTGCCGAGCATTACCGTTGACGAGGCTTTGATGAAATCCGACTGGCTC